TGCGGCCTCCGCCGAAGTTGCTGCCACCAAACCTTCCTCCCCCTCGTCCTCTGCCTCTTCCTCGACCATATCCACGGCCGATGCTCGCTGCCCCAGCGCCATCCGCACTCGCCAACTCACGGCGGCGGAAATCCTCTTGAAGGATAGCTCGTTTCACGTCTTCAAGCGAGAGGCGGGGCAAGTCGCGATTAAGGTTGATGATGAGCGAGGACCATGACTCTGGGAGTAAGGCCAGCAACTTGGTCTTCTTTTGGAGCTCACTGTAGTTCAAATCAGCTCCCTCAAGCCGCGTCAACAAGTCGAAGAGTTTCTGCACCCCTTCTTCAACCGCTTCGTCTTCTTCAATTCGTAGTGCCGCCATTTGCCGTTCCAACACCACCGCTACCGCCGCTGTTGCAGGAGCATGTACACCCTTGAGAGCAGCCCATGCCTTTGGTCCTTTCTCTGGTTCACGCTGGAATGGCTTGATGTGACGGATCTGACTGCTCCCCAACGCTTGCCCAAGTAAGAGATAGCCTTGTGCGCTCTTCCGCACCCACGGGCTCTTCTCCGGGTCGTTCTCGGGGCGCTTCTCCGTTCCTTCCATCACCTCCAGCAGGTCATAGTGGTCAAAGATGTTCTCCATCTTGAAGGACCATTCAGCAAAGTTGTCACCGTTGAACTTGTCAAGCCCAAACACCCTAGGCTCATCCCTAGGTGGGCCAAGACTTGGTTGCATGGGCGCCATGGCTGAATCACGGGGTTGGCCTTGAGCTTGAGCTTCTCCACTGCCACCAGCACCTCTGCCACCCCTTTCCTCAGGTCCAGACATTGTCGAAACTGCTCCAAGGGGCTCTGATACCACTTGTTATAGTCACAATAGGCTTGAATGTGCCTAAAACGAAAGATAGAGAGCACAGACGGATTTCTGCACAGCGGCTTCAAACGTTGATAGCGTTCTGCTAACAGCTGCAAATGACTTGATTCAAATTGGATCTGGAGCGTCTTCACGTCGTCTACAATTAGCAATTTAGATTGCACGATTTGATAAAGAATTGACGACACAGCGTCGGTTTGAACGAACGGTACTATGGTAGCCACTATAGTCTTAGAACACAAGATAGGAAGAGTTACGAGTTGGGAATGACTCCCAGCTCCTACAAACCCCAAGAGCCGAGGTACAGTGATGTGGAACAGTGCCACACTGTCCCCAACCACGAAGGGTCTCGAAACTACCCTTCACTAGGGCCTACACCAAGTGAAATGTTACACTACACAAAGTAATGTAACTATCTTCAATATCTTGAGGTGTACCCTTTTGGCAAGCTTCGAAATCACTTGAGGCTTGACACCAAGGCTCGGGCTCTTCATCACAAACTCATCCTTGAGTTCTTGATGGGTCTGCTGCACACACCTGCGACACGCCGAACGTTCGACACAGGACAAAATAGAAACCGCGCACGACAAAATAGAAACCGCGCGCGAGACACAAACGACCGCGTAACACGCGTCTAGCGATAACTCGCTATTGACTCGACACACACACTCGACATCATGACTCAACATTCACACACAATTATAAGCATGAAATATATATTATCCCATGCCCTCATACCATTCCATACACACACGCATTCACGCACACGGACAACAAGCCGAGTGCAAACCGTAGGGTTGCACCAACAGGATCATGCGAGCACCCTTGTGCATGGAGCCGGCCAGCCGGCCGGGCGGCGGCGCCGGCGGTCTCCGCAGGCCAGCCCCTCGTGCATGAAGTCGGACCTGAAGTCATACACCAAGGCTGTCAGGCTCACAGACGACGGGTATGACCCTGAATCCTCTTACTGACACGAGAACTTCTGACTCAAAACTCGAGATTTGTCATATCTAGACTTGTAGGTGCCGTGGCTGGGCAAGTCTGCCTTACACTCCCGTTTTAACAGCTTTCGTGCACCTGCCGTTTTCCCATGCTACTCCCCACCCTACCGCAGCCTGTTTCTCCTGCACTGGAACATCACCAAGGCGAACGACAGAATCATCGCCGCGATTGAGGCGAAGAAGGGCAGCGGCGCCGAGACCGGCTGGATGTCCATTGGCTGGACCAAGACAGCTGGCAAGGCGTTTCCGTCGGATGTCGTGGTGGGGAATCACGTGTTCGGTGCAGCCACTGCAAAGGACGTGGTGGCTTACTCAATGTCGGAGAATGCTTTGAAGGCGATCAAACGGACCAAGGCTGTGTTGCTCATGAAACCATCCGTGGGCACCACTGCTGGCGGTGGCACGATTGTCGAGTAAGCTTGTCGATTTCGCCGTGCGACAAGCATTAACCATGCGCGATGTGCCGTGTGCCATATGCCATGTGCCGTGGTGTCATTAGTACTCATTGGCAGTGCTCCATCCTGCTCATATACATACACTCTGTGCATATTGTCGTGTCGGTGCATGTCAGGTTCACTCGCAAAGGCAAGACTCCTGGTCAGATGGCACCTGTCGATTACACGGGTGTCAACAACATGATCTGGGCCTTCTCGGGCAGCCAGACGTTCATTACCCACACCCAAAAGTAATGCGTCACACTTGTAACAAGCCTCGCAAATGCTATTTTACCGGTACTATATTTAAAACGTAGCATGTGCATTTTTTCTCTGGCTGTGGTTTCATTGCCCCTCCTTACCCATTACCACCTCGTCGCCCCCACCCCCCTTCTCCCCCACATCCATCCTCCCTCTTCCATTCCTCCCCTCCCCCACTCCCTCACCCCCACTTCTCATCCCCTTGTCTTCTGTTCTTGGTTCAACAGGGGACTCATCAAGGTCGACTTTGGGTGCACTGTGCAGTAATGCCCCCCCACACAGATCTGCTACTGGCATGGCATGGTACCGGTACCCTAGTGGGTAGTGGGAATGTGTAGCATCTACGGTACTGGATGAAAGGCTTCAGGTGTTACCCAGACAGGGAGTGAAGGTTACCATTACGGCATACCACCACCACCACCACCCAATTAAATTGAGAAGTGTGCAACCCCTGTTGAATGTTGTTGCTTGTACCAATAGTATTTTGAGCAATGGAGATAAATCGCCACAAAAGAGCTGAAAGAGACACCTAGAAAGCAAAACCACGTGGTTTCATGTAGGACCATCTGGGCTTTCCAGTATCAAACACCCTGCCATAGATGAGAGGAAAATCAGTTGTACAGACCCCCCCATTCTCTACTGTCCCAAAGTGTATTTCCAGTGATGGTTGTGTGTGTGCAAAGAATCAGTTGAAAGCTTCCTCTGCACAAGAATCAGGGTATACCACAGGAGAAGAACAGAATAAACCATCAGGGCCATAAAAATGCCTCTACTGGAAACTAAGTCTGAAAGCTTCCTCTGCACAAGAATCAGGGTATACCACAGGAGAAGTACAGAATAAACCATCAGGGCCATAAAAATGCCTCTACTGGAAACTAAGTCCAATTCCTACGAGACCCTCGACGAGGGGTATCCATGAGGTTCCGGTAACACAGTAGATGGTACGGTATGTTCCTCCAAGCTACCTATCTGGCCAATTTGCGTCATACCACATTATAAACGATGATGAACAGTTTCATTGAGATAATTCTCTCCTTTCTGCTACAGAAGCAGCACTTTGACGGGGGAAAGGGAAACTACTACCGGTAACATTGACGCAAAGGCGCATCGCTTAGATTGCAGCTGAGGAACAGATTTCGTCAAGCATCTTCACCACATTCCCCTCTGATGAAAAAAAATGCAAGAAAGAAAAAAAAAAAAACGGTACCTCTGCATGGGGAGGGGGATAAGGGGAAGTGGAATGAGGGGGACACACACACATGAGAGGTGAGTTGAAAGCAAACAACAGAGAGGAGTAAAAATGGAACTGCGGATCGTACTTCACAGTTATACAGAGGATTTCAGTTGAACCAGCTATACAGGGTTTGTTTTGAAACGTCTCAAAACAAATTTTTAATACAAGAGGATTAAAGAAGGACCTGAGAATCGTACTTTGATGATCTCAGTTAAACCAGCCATGCAGGGTTTGTTTTGAGACGTCTCAACACAAACCTTTTATCACGAGAGGAATAAAGAAGGACCTGAGAATCGTACTTTGATGATCACAATTGAACCAGCCATTCAGGGCACATTGAGAAATCTCAGAAGTGTTCCAAGCAGGGCGAACAAGCACTATGGATGACGGCAGTGGCGGAAACAGCAGGGAGGAGTGGGAGGAAAGAAGGAAAGGGGGGAAAGGGAGGAAAGGAAGATGAGAGGAAATGACGTAATTCTGCAAAACCTCCATGCTTGAGACGTCTCAAAATCGAGATACGTGTCAAAATCGAGTTTTGAGACGTCTCACAAGTGGAAGAAGATGTATGTGGAGAACCCTGGAGTACAAATGAGCTCGTGAGCACAATCGTGCGAGCCCAGCTCGCAGCCATGACCGTATAAACAGCGTCTTTCGGCCCTTTGGAGAACCTCGAGCGCTTGTGAATGTCAGTGTCCGCTTGGAGCAAGTCCTGCCCGTGGCCGATGTTTTGAGTCGACTCAGAACACGGCCCGTGACCGGTCTCTTTGAGTTATCAGAGTCAGGGGTAGCTGCGATCAGCCTTCCTGGCAGTCTTGCTCGTGACCGTTGCTCGGTCTGGTGAGAACGACGAGCTCACAGTGAACCTCAGCGATTGTTGAGGCGCCTAAGAAAAATTGCGGGTGGAGAGACTACGATTGAGGCGCCTCAAAAGTGACGTGGCGCAGTGCGCGTACCCGAGGAAGGACGACGAGCAGACAGTGAATCTCAGCGTTCGCTTGGCGCTAGTGTGTACTTGATTCTTTGCGTTCTCAAACCAGTCTTGTCCGTGACCGCTGCTCTGTCTAGTGACGTGGCGCAGTGCGAGTACCGGTGGAAGGACGACGAGCACACAGTGAATCTCAGCTGTTTCTTCCCCTCGTCAATGTCTGTCTGGTGACGTGGCGCAGTGCGCGTACCGGTGAGGTGGTAAGGGCGACCGGATTCCACGGCGCCGACTAGCTCCGATCGGCCTTCCCGTCAGTCTTGCCGGTAACCGGCTCCTTTGCCTCCCGCTCGATCTGCTTCGGCGTGTCGTTTAGCGACCTGCGAGTTTCGATACAACCGAATCAACTGGACTCAGGGAAGCGACGAGCAGTCACCGACGTAGCCTTACGAAAGACAAAACAAAACGCGGCGCGAGTGAGGAGGATCGATCGAGCAGCATCGGAGGGCAAGCGAGCAGCGCACGGGTGCGACGGCGAGCAGAGCCGAGCGAGCGAAGCGACTAACGAGCGAGCGAAGCGGTTAAAGAGCTAGCGTCGCACACGCGCGTCGCGACAAGAAACCTAAGCGGCGGATCCAAGCGACTCACTTCTTAACGGCCACTTCTTCCTCCTCCAACCACACTCTCATCTGCCTGACGTTCCGTCTTAGCGTCGTCGCCGTCCTCTTGACGTCTCCTTTGAGCAACAGGACCGCCGCGCCGATTCCTACTACGGTAAGCACGAAATTTGAAAACGCCATGGCGGCAAAAGCTTCGCCTGGCGAGTGAGCTATAAGTACCTTGGACCAGGGTATATTCACTCTCCGTTGGCAGGAACGTAGTGTTTTGCTGGCTGATCCTAGTTTCATAATCGTAATCGTTTCATCTTATAGGGCGAATATTGATGCACTTGTTCCAAAGAGTCACTAAAGCTGGATAGTGGTAACCATAGGGTGTTGACGAAACATGGAGATCGCGCGCATCAACTTTACCTGCAAGAAACATGGTGAATATGTCGGTTTCAGGCGAGAGGAGCACAATTCGCGCATCTACAGCGAAGAACGAAATCTCGCGAAGAGTGAAATAACCAGAAAACTGTGTGGCGAAAGAATTTTCGATCATCATCAGTTCGCTACGCATGTTACAGGAGCATGGCCAGTGGAGTTCCCAGTCCCTTACTTTTCGGCGATCTCAGTGGTTTCCTGGTGAATGTTTCAGGACAACTTTTGCTTCCTATTTATCTCACAGACTTCAATAAAGAGCCATGCCGTGCCAAAACTACTAGACTAGGCTCGGGCGGTGTTAGACACTGCGTCTCCGAACCACCCCGCAAGGCTCGAAATCCACCTGCGAGTCTCGTGCGAGTGCTTCGCGAGCGTCCCGCAATCGTCCCGCGAGCGGCGCGCGTAGCGGCGAGAAAGCCATCATGGCGGTGACGGCGGCGAATCTCTCGACGTTCGGCGGCATCGCGACGGTGTCGCTCGTGCACTCGCTCATCCCCACGCACTGGCTGCCGTTCAGCGTCGTGGGTCGCGTGCAGAAATGGACCATCCACCAGACGCTCTCCATCAGTAAGGGTTCCTCCGATGGTGTCTCTAGTCATATGTCTCTTCGCGACCGCATCGGCTGCCGCTCAGTGGCGCGAACGCGTGCAGTAGTGGACCATAGTTGTCGTCTCATTAGGGATCATTTTCGGATTTATATAATCGCTATATCATTCTCGCATTGTAACAAGGTGGAGCATATAACGTTTTGGCTGTGCCTCCACGGATTACCCGTTACACAGTCACATGTTGAGTCATTGTAACAAGGTAACTATTGAGTAACAAGGTGCGCTCGGGGCATTGACTGCATCTGCATCTGCATTGGTAACCTTGGATGAAACCCTATACACGGTCCACGCTAGAATCGACCATGGCCCGTCCATGGTCCGACCATGGTCGATCATTCCTCATGGACGATCAGTCAGCCCCGGCCCTGACGACTCCAGAGGCTGGGAAACTCAATTAGCGGAAAACTCAAACTGATGGCGAATCTCGGATTAACATTCTTTTCTATTGAAGATTACGACGAGATTCGAAGTCACATGCAATCATGCTCAAGAATCTCGATGTGCTGCTACACTGATCCTAGTGGGTTCCATTGACGGCCCTTTTTCCCCCTTCCTTCTCTCCCTGCAGCAGCACTGGGACATGCTATCCACGTCCATCCTCGTCTTCACTGCCGTCACCATGGCACACACGCTCGCAGGCGAGGAGGCAGTGGAAGCCCCTTGAGGAGCCTTCAACCACCAAAGCATCATCCTTCCCTGCCCATCCTTCCCATCCCTCCCTTCCATCCCTCACCTCCCTCCCCTGCAGCGGCATTGGGTGCATTCCTGCACGTGCTATCCACGTCCATCCTCGGGTTCACCGCAGTCACCATGGCACACACGCTCGCAGGGGAGGAGGCAGTAGAAGCCATCGCGTCCCTCCTCCTGCTCCTCCTCGGCGCCTGCTACATTGCCCTCTTCCTCCTCACCCGCGGAAAACCCTCCCACTCCCACTGCCACGCCCACTCCCACCTGCCAACAACCATGGCTGCTGCTGCCGCCGCCACTGCAGCCGCCACCGGAACCTCCTCGCCTGGTGGCTCCGCTGCTGCTTCGTCGAAAAGCGCGAACGCGAGTGGGAAACCTGAGGGGATGGAGAGGATAGCAGTGCTGGGGTTGGTGCTGGTGCCAGCGCTGTCCCCCTGTGCCACGACTCTCCCGGTGTTTCTGGCCATCAGTGACGCGTCGGTGGGCACGATGGCCATTGCAGTGGCCGTGCTGCTCGCCTGCACGCTGTTCGTCATGCTCACGCTCGTTGCACTCTCTTTTTATGGAGCTTCTCAGGTGAGAGAGGTGTTCTGAACTGTGTATGACGTTCCCTGCTGAATAACGATTGCAGTGGCTGTGCTGCTGGATTGTATGCTCTTTGTCATGCTCACTCACGTTGCTCTCTCCTTCTATGGGGCCTCCCAGGTGAGGCTGATTCGTGGACTGGGCTTGTTGTGATGCTCCCTGCTGTATTCAGTGTGTAGAGCTGCTCGCCTGCACGCTCCTGTTGTCATGCTCACGCTCGTCGCTCTCCTTCTACGGGGCCTCACAGGTCTGCCTACTTTGCCCGGTCAACTTGACTTGCCTGTTTGTGATGCCCCCTGCTGATTTGTGTTGTGTCGTGTTCTTCGCCCCTTTTGAGACGTCTCAAAAGTCTGCATCCCAGGTGAAGCTGGTGATGGGGCTGATCCTATGCGCAACGTGGCTAGCTGTCTTGCTTCCTCAGTTTCCCCCACCCCTTTTTTTTCCCCTTGGCTGATTGCCATGCTTTTTCCCTTCTCCCGCCCCTCCTCTTTCCCCCAACTTTCAAGCATTGTTGCTTTGCAGGTGAAGTTTGGGTGGTTGGAGCGATACGAGAGGCTGGTGGTGGGGGTAATCCTGTGGCTAATACAGGTTGTCATGCTTTCCCCAACACCTCCCATCTGTCACCCGTTGGTGCGTTGCAGGTGAAATTCGGGTGGTTGGAGCGGTACGAGAAGCTGGTGGTGGGGGTGATTCTTTGCGCCGTGGGCATTCTCACTCACCTCTTCCACCACCATGACCACCCACACGGGCACACCCACGGGCATGAGGGGCATGTGGGGCATGCTGCTTACCACCAGCATGCTTCTGTGTTTGCACCGGGGCATACTGACATCATCACTGCTGGCACCATGCTGAGCCACCATCACTGAGTGATGAGAATCCATTACCGAGGGCCCGAGGGGCATTTGCGACACCAGGTTACCATCAGCATGCTTCTGTGTTTGCACCGGTGCACATAGACGTCATCACAGCTGGTACCATGCTGAGCAATCATCATTGAGTGATGTGAAGCCATCGCTATGAATCCACTGGCCACAAGATCATTGCTAGTGATGCTTCCGTTGATGCTGCTTGCGTGGTATAATGATTGGGTTCATTCAAACACCCTCCAAGGCCACTTGGTTCTTTGCATTTCCTGCTCATATGGTTATATTATTATTGCACACACCATCTCTTGCATGATGTTACACACCGGTACCCATACCGTAGTTCCTGGCCACAGATGGTATTTTAATGAGTCATGGCATGACTATGTATCTTCTGTAAGTATGTAATAGATTTCATATGTTCTAAGGTAGGCTAACATGATGTATTAACATTTTTACCTAAAGGCTCCTCCTACCTAAGGTCCCCCATCTGTGGAATCTGGTACGTGAGGGATTGCTACCAGGTATTTAGAGTGCGAACCATGCACAATAACCTAAATACCCGACATAGAACCAGGACATATGCGCATCAATATCAGTGTTTTAGGCATCTAGTAAATTGCCATTTAGAAGGCACCCTAGTGGTGCTACAGTTAGCACGGACGCAGCAGAATGCGTTAGTGACTGCATCCAGTGGAGAGGATAGCGAGCGAGCCCCGTAGTCTGGGCATATGGAGAGTGAGTCATGATGCCAATCAATCCAGGGAGGGCAGTCTGGTAGCGGCGGCAGGCGCTCCCTCTGTAGCACCCCTCGAGCAGTAGAGTAGAGAGGGTACGAGGCAGGTCCAGATCAGATCCCTCCCCATCAGCGCGTGTCATGTGACGGTCAAATGGAATTAGTTGAGGGAAAGGGAGTCATGCCCCTCAGTAGTGGACAGCACCCCCCCGCCTTGAACATGGATCGAGACGGCCCCAAATTCCTCCCCACGAGTGCATGGCACTTCAAGGAAGTCAATAGAGGGAAAGGGAGTCGTGCACTCTGGCAGTGGCAGCAGGTGCACCTCCCTTAGACAACACCCCCCTGTGGCATCGCAGATGGCTCGCGGCGGCTCCAGGTCTTCTCCATTAATGCGTGACAGTTGATGGCATACGACAGTCAAATGTCGTTAGTAGAGGGAGAGTGAGTCGTGCACTCTAGCAGTGGCAGCAGGTGCACCTCCCTTAGACAGCACCCCTCGGGCGTCGCAGATGGCTCGAGGCGGCTCCAAGTCCCTCTCCATGAGAGAGTGTCCCTGCAGTCGCTGCATCTGCTGGGTAAACAAATTATCGAGAGTCTGCGGGGGGTGTGGGTGGGAGGCAAAGGAGGAAAAGGGGAGGGCGGTTGTTGGATGTGTGGCTGTGGGTGGGAAAGACGAGGCGGCTCCAGTCCCTCTCCATCAGGGCGTGGTCCTGCAGTCGCTGCATCTGCTGGGTGAACAGATTGCGCAGCGTCTGATGGGCGGAATGGGTGGGAGCGGGGAAGTGGTCGGAGCTGACACAATGAGAAGAGAACGTGGGTTTGAAGGGAGGCAGCGTATACTGGGATGTTGAGCGCGGCTTTAAGTGTGGGGCTATGACTGCGTGGGGCTACAAATATGTTGGATGGTGGAATCAAAATCAGGTTGTGCTTACATCGAGTGCGATAGCAGCAGAAGCCCTCTTAAACCACGATACCCCTCTCTCCGCTTCTCCAGGAAGTGCAACACCTCTCTCCCATGCCGATCCCACAGACCCCTCGCTGCTTACTCACTGCCCTGACAGCCAAGGATCATTCCCCCTCATGCGCACACTGAGATGAGAGTGATAGTAAGTCGTGCTTACATCGAGTGTGATAGCAGCAGAAGCACTCTTAAACCACGATACTCCCTCTCTCCGCTTCTCCAGAAAGTGCAGCACCTCCCGCCCATGCCGGTCCCACAGGCCCCTCGCCGTGCCCACAAAGACACGGCTGCTCAGCACTGCGTCAGCCTGGTTGCGATTGGTGAGGGGAGAGGTTGGGATAGTCGGGGAAAAAAGGAGTGGGCAAAGGGAGTACGGAGAGGGTCGGGAAGTGTAGCACCTCCCGCCCATGCCGGTCCCACAGGACCCTCGCTGTGCCCACAAACACCCGGCTGCTCAGCACTGCGTCAGCCTGATGGGACGGGAAAAAGGGAGTGGGGGAAGGGAGAACGGAGAGGGTTGGGAACTTCAACACCTCCCTCCCATGCCGGTCCCACAGGCCCCTTGCTGTGCCCACAAACACCCGGCTGCTCAGCACTGCGTCAGCCTGATTCAAGGGTCCGAGGAAGGGGAAAATGGTGGGGGAGAAGTTGGGGAAAGGGTGACAGGGAGGGAAGACATGAACCAACAGGCCAATTGCCATGCCCAGAAACAGCCAGCTTCTCAGAACTGCATCAGCCTGATGGGAGGGTGGGAGGGCGAGGGGAAGGTTTGAGGAGAGTGGGACGCGGGTCAACAGGGTCCTCGCCGTGCCCAGGAATACCCGGCTGCTAGAAAACGCGTCTGCCTGATGGGAGGGTGGGACGAAAATGGGAGGTGAGTCACTCATCTGTCGGTCCTACAGGCGGCCGGCCCTTTGCTGAGCCAGTGAGCACGCAGCTACTTACCAGCACTGCAACCTCTCAAAAACATCTGTGCAGTAACAGCAGCAGAGGCAGAAGCAGTGGTAGCGGCAGAAGCGGCAGTAGCGGAGTGGCAGCAGTTGCAGCGGCAGCAGCAGCAGTGGCAGCAGCAGCAGCATTGGCAAAGCAGCAGCAGTGGCAGCAGCGGCAGAAGTGGCAATAGCTGCCAGCAATGAAGTATTACGTACCAACTCCCACCTGGGCTAGCTAGCAGCGATCCAATCAACACAGAGAGCGACTGCAGCTAAGATGTCATGTTGTCGCCAGCCTGGCTGAGGCCATAGGCACTGCGGCCTCTGCAGCAGTAGTGGCAGCGAGTGAGTAGCTGATTAGCTTGCGGAGACTCTCACCTGGGCTGCAGCTTGGAGATCACGGCGTCGCCTGCGTGAGCTGGTTCGTGGGTACGATGTGACTTATGAGTCAACTCAAAAGTCAGCTTTTGAGTCAACTCAAAAGTCAGCTTGGAGATCACGGCGTCGCCTGCGTGAGCTGGTTCGTGGGTACAAGAGTGGCAGCAAGAGAGCAGCGTGGTATCTTACCTGCGCTAGAAGTGACCCAATCAGTGCGGAGAGCGGCTGCAGCTTGGACGTCATGTCGCCGCCTGCCTGTGCTGGTCTGTGGGTATGAGAGTGGCAACTGTTAGTGGCATACTGAGACTCTCACCTGCGCTAGCAGCGAACCAATCAAGGCGGAGAGCGGCTGCAGCTTGGACGTCATGTCGTCGCCCGCCTGTGGCCGCACCTCCTTGAGCACTCTCTTCAGTGATGTGGTTCGACCCAGCTGGGTCTGCAGGGGAGAGGAGGGGAGCGAAGGGATGGAGGGGAGGGATAGAGAGGGCGCATTTAAAAGGAATGGCCCTCCTTGAGCACTCTCTTCAGTGATGTGGTTCGACCCAGCTGGGTCTGCAGGGGAGAGGAGGGGAGCGAAGGGATGGAGGGGAGGGATAGAGAGGGCGCATTTAAAAGGAATGGCCCTCCTTGAGCACTCTCTTCAGTGATGTGGTTCGACCCAGCTGGGTCTGCAGGGGAGAGGAGGGGAGCGAAGGGATGGAGGGGAGGGATAGAGAGGGCGCATTTAAAAGGAATGGCCCTCCTTGAGCACTCCCTTCAGTGATGTGGTTCGACCCAGCTGGGTCTGCAGGGGAGAGGAGGGGAGCGAAGGGATGGAGGCGAGGGATAGAGAGGGCGCATTTAAAAGGAATGGCCCTCCTTGAGCACTCCCTTCAGTGATGTGGTTCGACCCAGCTGGGTCTGCAGGGGAGAGGAGGGGAGCGAAGGGATGGAGGGGAGGGATAGAGAGGGCGCATTTAAAAGGAATGGCCCTCCTTGAGCACTCTCTTCAGTGATGTGGTTCGACCCAGCTGGGTCTGCAGGGGAGAGGAGGGGAGCGAAGGGATGGAGGGGAGGGATAGAGAGGGCGCATTTAAAAGGAATGGCCCTCCTTGAGCACTCTCTTCAGTGATGTGGTTCGACCCAGCTGGGTCTGCAGGGGAGAGGAGGGGAGCGAAGGGATGGAGGGGAGGGATAGAGAGGGCGCATTTAAAAGGAATGGCCCTCCTTGAGCACTCCCTTCAGTGATGTGGTTCGACCCAGCTGGGTCTGCAGGGGAGAGGAGGGGAGCGAAGGGATGGAGGGGAGGGATAGAGAGGGCGCATTTAAAAGGAATGGCCCTCCTTGAGCACTCTCTTCAGTGATGTGGTTCGACCCAGCTGGGTCTGCAGGGGAGAGGAGGGGAGCGAAGGGATGGAGGGGAGGGATAGAGAGGGCGCATTTAAAAGGAATGGCCCTCCTTGAGCACTCTCTTCAGTGATGTGGTTCGACCCAGCTGGGTCTGCAGGGGAGAGGAGGGGAGCGAAGGGATGGAGGGGAGGGATAGAGAGGGCGCATTTAAAAGGAATGGCCCTCCTTGAGCACTCCCTTCAGTGATGTGGTTCGACCCAGCTGGGTCTGCAGGGCGAGGAGGAGGAGGGGGTGGAAGGGAGGGAAGCGAATGGAGGAGAGTGAGGGCACAGAGGGAACTGGAGAACCAGAAAGCATGGCTTTTGGTTCCCAGGACAATGGCCCTGCTTCAACACACGCTTCAATCTCTCAGATAACACCTCCCTCTCCTGCTCTACCTCACTCACATTCTAGTATAACTTCTCCACCACTCCTTCAAGTCTTGCCTTGTACGTTGTTCTAAGCTATACAGTCACCTCACTCAGCATCTCCCCAGATAACCCCTCCCCAGATAACCCCTCCCCAGATAACACCTCCCCAGATAACACCTCTTCGGAGGGAGAGCAACCTTTCAGAAGACACCTCCCTAATGGCCCTTTCATTGATTGTCAAGGTATACAGACATGCAAGGTGTAGGTATCACGCACGTAAGGCTAATACATTTTACACTCCCTCTCTCCCCCTCCATACTCACATTCTCGTATAGCTTCTCCACCACGCCTTGCAGTGTCGCCCTGTACGTTGTCCTCAGCTCCACCGTCACCTCGCTCAGCATTTCCCCGAATAGCACCTCCCTCCCGCCCGCCACGCCCCCTCCCCCCGTCCCCCCTGCTCCCCCTGCTTCCCCCATCCCCCCTGCATCCGCCACTCCGCCTCCCTGCCCCCTCCCCCTCCCTCCCCCAGCCTCCCCCCATCCACTCCCCCCACCAGCGCCTCCCCCCATCCCAATTCCGCCCATCCCCCCTTGTCCCCTGACACCACCTCCGCCTCCCCCGCCCCCTCCCCCTCCGCCTCCCCCTCCCCCTCCCCCACCGCCAGCAGCAGCAGCCACTCTTTTCGCAGCAGCTCCCAGAATGGAAGCAGCGGCAGCAGCGGCACCAGCAGCACTGCCTCCCCCCGAGGGGCGCTTTGGGGGGGGAAGGTTGCGCTGGGGGGGGCGGATGAGGGAGGCTGGGGGAGTGTTGGCGACCCACTTGCGCATCCGGAGTTCCACTGTTGGGCGCAGGGTTTCGAGCATTCGCTTTATGGTGTTGAGATACACTCCCAGCTGCAGTGAGGGGGGGAAAGGGGAAATGAGAGGACGGGGGGGGGAAAGGAGATACACTGTGCTCCACTGTTGGGCGCAGGGTCTGGATCATTCGCTTGATGGTGTTGAGATACACTCCCAGCTGAGGGGGAGGGAGCGGCAGGGAGGGAGAGGCAGGGAGGAAGATGAGTGTTGGCGACCCCCTTGCACGTCCTCAGTTCCCACAACTTCTGGGCGCAGGGTTTCAAGCATTCGCTTGATGGTGTTGAAATACACTCCCAACTGAGGGGGACGGAGGAGGGAGAAGACTGAGTTGAAGTGAAGTGACAGAAAGGACATTTGCGGAAGAGGGGGACCGGGCGGAAAGAGCGGGGAGAGGGGGAAGAGAGGGAAGAAGGGGCAGCCAGCTGGGTGGCACAGTGGGACTGATCTCACAGCAATGCGCACCGGAGCATGAGCTCACCGTGACGGCACTCAGCACAGGCCCGCTCACCTCACCTCTGTGGGCACCTAGTATGCGAGTGCGGGGCGGCGGCGCGGCAGCATGCTGAGAAGCTTCTTTTTGGTGGAGGTGGGAGTTGTTGGGTCAGGTAGGTGTGATGGCTGTACAGCCATGTGTGATGTATGGATAAAAGCTCACCTCTATGGGTACTTGGTAGGCGAGCGTGGGGCGGCGGCGCGACAGCATGTTGAGAAGCTTCTTTTTGGTAGAGGTGGAGGAGGGGGCGGATGAGGAGGAGGGGGTGTTGAGGAGCAGGAGGAAGTTCTGAAAGTGAGAGGCGAGGGATGAAATGGCTGCTCGCTCCACATCACACACCGCCTGCAATGGGGAAGCAGCAGGAAACACAGAGATTGCACACAGGCACACATGCCAATCATGTGAAGAGGAGAAGAGGGTGCTGAGGAGGAGAAGAGGGTGCTGAGGAGGAGAAGAGGGTGCTGAGGAGGAGAAGAGGGTGCTGAGGAGGAGAAGAGGGTGCTGAGGAGGAGAAGAGGGTGCTGAGGAGGAGAAGGAATGAAAGTTCTGAAAGAGAGAGGCGAGGGACGATATGTCTGTTGGCTTGAATGCATGACCTGCTGACTAACCCATCACGCATCCAAGTATGGGACCGCGTGGAATGGGGCGCATGGGACAGGACGAAGCGCCGCCTTGGTTCTCCTTTTTACCTGGCAGGCACACCCCCTGTGCCCTGTGAACCCACCCATCCACCCCAAGCCTCACCCAATCCCCCACCAAGCCTCTCACCTCCTCCACCAGAAGCGTGTACTGCGGCCATCGGCCCAGCACCGAGTCGAGCTCGTCCAACAGGCTGTTGATCACCCCTCTGACCCATCCCCCCATGCACTGCACCTCCTCCCCCTCCATGACCTGGCCCCGCCTCTCCCCCCATTGCTTGCTCTCACCTCCTCCACGAGAAGCGTGTACTGCGGCCATCGCCCCAGCACCGAGTCGAGCTCGTCTAACAAGCTGTTGATCACCCCGTACACCTCCTCCATGAATGGTGACGTGGCGTTGCGGTCCGACATGGGCGCAAGCACCGCCCACTGTTGGGGGGGAGAGACGTTCAATTGTGAAACAAGCAAGGGAGGAAGGGGAAGAGATAAGCATTGGTGCCACTCGCAATAGGCTGTTGATCACGCCGTACACCTCCTCCATAAACGATGACGTGGCGTTGCAGTCGGACATTGAGGCTAGCACCGCCCACTGAGTCGATTTTTGAGTCGACTCAAAAATCGTAGCACCGCCCACTACGTTGGAAGGGAGGGAGACAGTCAAGCGGAGGAAAGAGACGAGAGGTGAACGTTGGTCCGCCCCGCCCCGCCACTGCTAGTTGGTGCGACTTTTGAGAATTCTCAAAAGAAAGGGGAGCATGTCTCGAAAGCTGCGAGCAACAGACGAGAAAGAGAAAGCTGCGAGCAACAGACGAGAAAGAGAAAGCTGCGAGCAACAGACGAGAAAGAGAGATGCCACATGAACCAATGTTGAACGAACATGAAAGGTGATGCGGCTGGCCTTTGGGATGCGGAGCAAGAGAAGACGAGGAAGCACAGAACACACCTTGGGCGCATGGCACACACACCTTGGGCGCATGGCACACACACCTTGGGCGCATGGCACACACACCTTGGGCGCATGGCACACACACCTTGGGCGCATGGCACACACACCTTGGGCGCATGGCACACACACCTTGGGCGCATGGCACACACACCTTGGGCGCATGGCACACACACCTTGGGCGCATGGCACACACACCTTGGGCGCATGGCACACACACCTTGGGCGCATGGCACACACACCTTGGGAGCTCGACAGACGTCCATGAGAGTGTGGGTGCGCTCCCTGATCCATGCCTCCACGTACACTCCAAACAGCTCCCTTGCGTCTAGGCCCAAGGCACCTTGCTGCTCGAGATGACAAGGGGGAAGGAAAGATGCAAGCAGCAGTGATCGGGGATGCTGATGCAAAGGGAAGGGAACAGCAATCATGCGGATGCAAATCCACAGCCAAACTGGTATTGATGCAGCCACGATGCAACCATGATAACTCACCCACCCAGCCCGTTCAAGGAACGTAAAAAACCATGCACCATGAATTCAAACCGAATGCGTCATTTGAGGATTCTAAGAAAAAGCATTCAGCCTAATGAATCACAGATCTATGCACCCACGTTTCCCCATCCAACCCACCATGGGTCAACCCAAACAAGCATGAAGCCTCACTCACTCACCCCACGCCCCACAGCATGAGCCTGTCCTCCACGTCAGCAGTGGCGTGCAGCAGGTTCTTGACATGTGGCAGCGGGTGCTGAGGTGGCACCGCCAGCAGGAACTGGTTGACTCGCCTCTGCAGCTCCACCATGTACACACCAGCTGTCAACTCGGGTAGATCGACAAAGCTGGGAAAGGGGTCAAGTCAAAGGGAACGAGATGGGATGAGGAAGAAGGAAGAATGGAGACGATGTGGCAGAATTGAATGCGGAGTCACCTCTTTCCGCACCTCCACCGCGCACACGCCAGCTGTCAGCTCGGGTAAATCCCACAAAGATGGGAAGCGGGAGGGAGATGGGATGGGATGAGAATGGAAGGGAGATTTGAGGCGCCTCGAAAATTGAGAGATGCGAAGCAGTGAAGGGGCTTCTGCAGCTCCACCGTGCACACGCCTGATGTCAGCTCGGTCGGGCAATAATCTGTTTTTTTTTTTTTTTTTTTTTTTCTAGAATTAAAAAAAAAACAGATTCAGCTCGGGCAAGTCCCCCCCTTGGATACACACAGGTGAATGGCGGATCACAGGTGAATGGCGGATCACAGGTGAATGGCGGATCACAGGTGAATGGCGGATCACAGGTGAATGGCGGATCACAGGTGAATGGCGGATCACAGGTGAATGGCGGATCACAGGTGAATGGCGGATCACAGGTGAATGGCGGATCACAGGTGAATGGCGGATCACAGGTGAATGGCGGATCACAGGTGAATGGCGGATCACAGGTGAATGGCGGATCACAGGTGAATGGCGGATCACAGGTGAATGGCGGATCACAGGTGAATGGCGGATCACAGGACGCCACAACACCAACACGACACCCCTCCCCCTCCCATTTTTCTCCCTTTCCCCCGTTCACTCAGCGGCCTGGTCTTGATACAACCGTATGGGTGGCTGCGAGTGAACCTGGGCAGGATGTGCCGGTTGTGCATGCCTATGTCCGCTTGCACATGCTGCCACATCGCCACACACGCGCTTGCAACCACATGTGACCCCCTACCCATGCACACACAGCAGCAGCTGTTACCTGGGTAGGATGTGCCAGTTGTGCATGCCTGTGTCCGCTTGCACCTGCTGCCACATCGCCACACACGCGCTTGCAACCACATGTGACCCCCTACCCATGCACACACAGCAGCAGCTGTTACCTGGGTAGGATGTGCCGGTTGTGCATGCCTATGTCCGCTTGCACCTGCTGCCACATCGCCACACACGCGCTTGCAACCACATGTGACCCCCTACCCATGCACACACAGCAGCAGCTGTTACCTGGGTAGGATGTGCCGGTTGTGCATGCCTATGTCCGCTTGCACCTGCTGCCACATCGCCACACACGCGCTTGCAGCCCCATCGAACACCAGCACCATCCCACACACACAAACACACACAGTGTCCCACCTGGGCAGGATGTGCTGGTTGTGAATGCCTATGTCCGCCTGCACCTCCCTCCACATGGCCACACACGCATGTGCACCGACATGCACCAAAGCCAGTCTCTTCCTCCCTCTCATCCCAACGAACAGCAACCCACCTGGGCAGTATGTGTTGGTTGTGAATGCCAATATCCGCCTGCATCTCTCTCCACATGGCCACACACGCACTTGCACCCCTATGCCACACCAGCACCACCAAACACACACCACCCCCACACACAAGCACACACAGCGTCCCACCTGGGCAGGATGTGTTGGTTGTGAATGCCAATATCCGCCTGCACCTTCCTCCACATGGCCACACACGCACCACCCACACACAAGCCCACATTGTAGCACGGACAGTGTCCCACCTGGGCAGGATGCGTTGGTTGTGAATGCCAATATCCGCCTGCACCTTCCTCCACATGGCCACACACGCACCACCCACACACAAGCCCACATTGTAGCACGGACAGTGTCCCACCTGGGCAGGATGTGTTGGTTGTGAATGCCGATATCCGCCTGCACCTCCCTCCACATGGCCACACACGCCAGTCGCATGCTCCCATACGCCTCCCTCTGCTCCTCCATATCCCCCCCCTCCCCTCCCCGCATCGCCCCCCTCCCCATCCCGCCTGCTCCCCCCATTCCCCCGCCCCCTCCGCCCCCTCTCCCCCTGCCTCCCCCCGGACTGCACCCCATGCCCGCCTGCCCCTGCGCCTGCGCCTGCATGGTGCTGCCCCCAGTGCCAAGGCAGAACGTGCCGTTGACGTATTCGTCGGTCTCTGACAGGTGCTGCCTGCACCGCCGCCGCGCTGCTGTCTGGAAACAGGGAGGGACGGGAGGCAGAGAGGCAAGCAGGGTTTAGGGCCAGAACGTGCCGTTGACATACTCGTCCGTCTCTGACAAGTGTTGCCGGCACCGCCGCCTCGCTGCTGTCTGTGTGGGAAGGGAGTGGAGAATGGGGAAGGTGAGAAGGCAAGACAAGCACGCAGAACGTGCCGTTGACATACTCGCCGGTTTCTGACAGGTGCTGCCGGCACCGCCGCCTCGCTGCTGTCTGGAATGGGAAGAGGAGAGGGGTAAAGGGTAGAGAGAGGAGAAAAGAAGAGGTAGGAAAGTCAGGCAAGCAGCAGGTCATTCCGCAGCCGAAACAGGTGCGCAGCAGGGGGAATAGCCAGCGCCATTAGTAACCTTTCCCACGTGATCTGCCAATACCCCCCCCTCCCCCCTCTCACCTGCAGGTAACCACAGAACTGCTGCTGCACTTCTGGCAGCGCTGCTGCTGCCACTGCGCCTCTCAAGTGTCCTACCCTTATCTGCCAACACCCCCACCCCTGCCTCACCTGCAGGTAACCGCAGAACTGCTGTTGCACCTCTGGCAGCAACAGGTCGTTCAGCAGCCCAAACAGGTACACCGCGGGGGGAATCGCCGGCGTCACCAGTGCGGCCGCCTCTGCCCCCACCAGCGATCTCCCCAGTGCCCTTCCCCAGCCCTTACACCCCTGCTCCCAGTAATACCCCAGGCTCACCTGCAGGTAACCGCAGAACTGCTGCTGCACCTCTGGCAGCAGCAGGTCGTGCAGCAGCCCAAACAGGTGCACCGCGGGGGGAATCGCCGGCGCCACCAGTGCTGCTACTGCCTCTGCGCCTCCCAAGCACCCCCCCTTCATCTGCCAATACTCCCCCATTCCTCCCCCTCGTCTCACCTGCAGGTAACCGCAGAACTGCTGTTGCACCTCTGGCAGCAACAGGTCGTTCAGCAGCCCAAACAGGTGCACTGCAGGGGGGATCGCCGGCGCCACCAGCGCTGCCGCCTCTGCCCCCACCAGCGATCGCCCCAGGGAGGCACACAGGTGCGTGGCGGAACGGGAAGAGTCGGCGATGCCTGAAGGGGAAGACTCGCTGAGGGACTTGTAGCTCTCAAATGTGAGCTGCAGGAGATCGCCTACTCTCTCCTCCATGTCTGCCAGCATGCGCGCCTGCAGGGGGAGGGGGAAGTGCGATTGAAGGGAGAACAGAAAGGTGCAGAGCGGTGGGGAGCGGTGCTGAAGGAGATCGCCACCCATTCCTCCATGTCTGCTAGCATGCGCGCCTGGGGTGGGGAGAGAGAGAGGGGGCGAGGAGAAACACAGAGGGGAACACACAGTGGCATAGCAGTGGATGGTAGAGCAGGAAGAGAGGGCAGTGCCTGAAGCGGCAGACTCGCCTAGGGAGGGTTGGCAAAAGAGGGAAGGGGGGCTGAAGGGGAGAAAAATAAAGGACGGACGAGGAGGAGAGGAGCGAGGAGGTGAGGCGGAGAGGAGCAAAGGGAAGGAAAAATGCAAGAGACGCAATGTGGATGAGACACTGGCTGTGCGAGATATGCTTCTCAACCATGCTGCTGTTTCATCCTAGCTCTGCCTCTCCTATTCTGTCACACTCATATCGGATTACTCACCTCCTGTTTAATCACACTGCTGCCGTCACTGTCGTGTGCATGCAGCACCGGCGCCAACAGCTGGTGGATGAGACACTGGCTGTGTACACTTGCCAAACGTGTTGCTGCCTATCCTATCATTCAAAGTCATAAAGGAATACTCAACTCACCTCCTGTTTAGTCACACTGCTGCCGTCACTGTCGTGTGCATGCAGCACCGGCGCCAACAATTGGTGAATCAGAGTAAGGCAGTCGGCTGTTGGTGTTGCCACGTCCATCACTCGAGTGAGGTACCTGCGTGAAGGGGACATGAATGGATGGATATGGGCACAGGTGAATAGAGCAAGAGAGGGATGGGTGGCTGGGATGGGCACTGTCATGTGCATGTGCATGCAGCACGGGCGCCAACAACTGGTGGAGGAGGGTAAGGCAGACGGCTGTTGGTGCTTCGACGTCCATCACTCGAGTGAGATACCTGCACGTTGTCAATGCTTGCAGCAATGGTGCCAACAACTGGTGGATGAGAGAGAGAGGATCCCGCCTGAATCAATACAAAGGACCATTTGAGAGAGAGACACACACAGTCTTCTGTTGGTGTGGCCACGCCACGCCCATCACACGAGTGAGGCACCCGTCAAACCAGTCATGGATGGGATGGAAAACCGGAACTGGAAAAGGAAATGTAATTGGAATATACATTGAGAATGCAGTAGCCCGCGGTTGGTTTCTCGTACTTCATCATACGAGTGAGCTACCTGGGGAAGAGGCAGAGGCGGACACAGATGAATACACAGGAAAGAAAGTCAATCGCGCCTCTACCATGTGCACGTGCAAGCGGCACCGGACGAGAGGGACCTGCCCGCACGGACAGCGACAGACAGAGACCCCTTGGTGTTGGTTCCCAGTTGACTTTTGATCTTGCACTTGTTGTACACTGATATCTATATTTATACCTGCATGTTTCCTCTTGCTAGGTTGTGATCAGTGTACTGCCTTGCTATTATAACTCTGCATGTGAACTGGCCTTGTGGCCGCTTGCTTGTGCTCGGATTGTGTGGTGTTCTTGAGATCCACCCTGAGTTTTGCTTTGCTTTGCTCAGTTGTCTTTCTTGACTGGTCTTGTGACCGTCTTGTTGTCCCCCACTTAGCCTATGGGGGTGAGTCAAAGTACAATCTTACTTGTAGGCTATAATGGGGCACTCCTTATGGGGTACAGCACTTCTAGGGTTATTACTTGTACCCCAACTCTTGCTAATCCAATCATTCCTGCACAGTGATTTTGACAGTACCCCCTATAGCCATCTTCACTATAACCTAATATAGAAATATGGTTTGACAATTTCATGATCAACATTCAGAGGCACATGACCGGTTGGTCACTGTGGAGGGGACAGATGGTGAAGGCATGCCACTGTAACACAAGTTTCTGCTTCACGAATACCACCTCAACATCCGGTCAAGCAGAGCCGTCATGAAGCTCGAAAGGGTGTTTTTGCCAGAAGACCTTCACTGGGGATGCCTGATTGATCCTACGGAGGTTATGAGCGCACTCACCCTGTGAAAATGAAACGAGGAATGAGTAGGAGCCATAGCTAGGTAAGCCCTAGCTAGGCAAGAGAGAATAAGCAAAGGAGGATGTTCACTAGAAAGCAGCAGGATACATATAGGAAACCCTAGGGGGTTGTACTCGCTATAGAGTACCCCACTGCAGGCTAGAGAACAATAACATTCTGACACACCCCCATAGTCAAAGTGGGGTATAATCAGTAGAGCAAGTAGTCCTAGAGCAGGTTCACATGCACAAGTAAAGCTAGGGGCAGTCGCAGAGGGCAAGTGAGGAGGAGGAGGAACTGTGGAAGGAGAGAAGATGGGAGGCAACGACTGAAGCTGCAGAGGCACGGGCACAGGAGCGGCTGACTCAGTGGCTACCGAAGCAAGGGCGACGGACTACTGGAGTAACTGGCTCCGCGGCTATAGACGAGCGGCAGGAACAACGGACCCACTGGCGACTGGTGCAACAGGCTCACTGGCTACCGAAGCAAGGGCGACGGACTACAGGCGCTGCAGGCGACACGACCGCTACCTCCACACAACCTCCTCCAACTGCCCCACACCCTCGACACACACCCCCTGCTGAACCCCTAACTCCACTCCTACAGCACCCCCCTTAAACCCTAAACCCTAGGCTCCCACACACCCACCCCCCTCAGCGGCAGCTGCAGCAGTGGGAGACCAGGGAGGAGGAGGAGCAAGGGGAGTAACACACAACCGCCACCCCCACACTCCTCACCCCCAAACCCTAATTCAGGAGAACGGGCAGCAGTAGGGGTGGGGCACCGTCAGAAGCACGGGGGACAGCGAGCAGCTCAGGGACAGAGAGGAAAGGGGCCGCCCACGGGCCTGGCACAGCCCGACGAACCGCGCGCAGGCGGCCCGAGCCGCGCGCGGGCCTGGCGCAGCCCGTACGGGCCGCGCGCGGGCCTGGCGCAGCCCGTACGGGCCGCGCTCGGGGCTGGCGCAGCCCGCGCTGGCCAGGACGGGCGACGGGGGACGACGGGCTGGTCCCCGTCGCCCGTCGAAGCGCCCCCCGGGGGCGACGCGCGGACCGACGGGGCAGAAGGCCGCCGCGCGCCTCGGGGCGCACGGCGGGCAGAGAACCGCCGCACGCCCCGGGGCGCACGGCGGGCAGAAATCCGCCGCGCGCCTCGGGGCGCACGGCGGGCAGAAAACCGCCGCACGCTCCGAGCGCGCGGCGGGAAGAGAAATCCGTCGCACGCCACGGGGCGTGCAACACACAGAGTAGCAGCGGAAGCAGCAGTAGGGCCCACAGGCCAGGAGCGTGAGTGCTCTGAAACCATGTGAAAATGAAACGAGGAATGAGTAGGAGCCATAGCTAGGTAAGCCCTAGCTAGGCAAGAGAGAATAAGCAAAGGAGGATGTTCACTAGAAAGCAGCAGGATACATATAGGAAACCCTAGGGGGTTGTACTCGCTATAGAGTACCCCACTGCAGGCTAGAGAACAATAACATTCTGACACACCCGCTATTAGCAAGTCCATTTATCCTAGTGGTATAGTGGCTGGGATTAAGAGAGTTAGTTGGTGAGTTGCTCGGCAGTCTAGAATCTCGCATGATTGACTTGTCGTCACTCAACAGGTCCAAACTCTTCAAATAGGAACTATTCCCAAAATCGATCACCAAGCGTGACCACATGGACGCTTGATTGCATTCACTGTGATGTGAGGGATGTTCAAATAGGGTCCTCTGGTGCAGACACCCCGACTAGTAAGATTCACATACCTACTCTAATCAACAATCTCCCCTGCTTCACTAGTGTATTTCCCAAGAGCTACCACTAACATAACAATATCTTGTCACAACACTCCCCCCTCCCAGGGCTGATTTTATCATGGTAATTACCCTGATTTCAAGGTGATTTCAGGCTTTCCACTTTGCGGAGACTGAGATTTCAGAATTACTAAGTTCAAATCAGAGTAATAGTTTTCCTATCCCTGATTTTGAGTATAGTGTAACAGACTAGCCTGTTAGTGGACCCTAACTTAATAGGGTATCGAATATGTGGTCCCTGATTTTGACCTTATCGAGAGAAAGTTTCTCGGAAATTTCCTTCCGATATCCCCCTTCGGGTTGATCGCAGTACAGCCAGCGCGTGAGCGAGAGACAGGAGCATGTCTGACTGACAGGCGAGTACACTCGATGTTTGTTTCTTTCACGAATTGCGAATAAGTTGTTCTACTGTCGTACTTGCGTGTGCGTGAAGTTACCAGAACCTATTTTGCGTTTCGCACAGCGATGTTGGCGACATTCAGGTACTCAGCGAATTAAAAACTGGGCACATCTGTGGAATCGAATCGAAATGTTTGGTTGACCGAAATCGCTCATCTCTTCCCCGCACTAAAACACGTGGATAAATATTATTTCGTGAAACTAAACGGGTGGAAATTAGCGCGCTCAAAGTGTGCGCGAAACACAGTGCGCAGACTTTACGCAGAGAGAGGTTTTTTCCCTTGTAACAAAGGGCGCGTTACCACTCTGATCTTCGATTTTCGACCCTGAACAATCAGAGTTATATACTTTTCAACCCTGAGCAATCAGGGTAGCATCATTCTGAAAAATGTGCACTCATAATAGAGGGGAATTTGTTTCCCCGGAATCAGGGAGGCCTAATATGAAACGTCAGCCCTGCCACTCCGCCCTATACCCAAAGCATAGTGCGACCTCATTGGCTTCACCACGCCACGATCCTCTCAACTCACCACGACGGCCTCAACTCCCAAGAAGTACCGAAGCAGCACAGACAGCAGCACCTGTAACAGCAGCAGAACAGGCGAGGGCAGATTTTGGGTGGATGGCAGGAGCTGTGCTGCTTGTATTAACATGTGTGATAGCTTGCAAAAGCAGAGTGCTTTTGTACAGATGGAAAACCACACCTACAGGCATTTTATATCATATAGCACAAAGATACATGTACAGAACCTACGGTAAATGCCAAGTTGTCATTTAATCCTATGAAATTTAATGATCAAGGCATTGCCTTTTGCTTTGATTCTTCTATCAGCTTCTTCAGCTTCTGCTCCGCTTTACTTGTTATCCTGCAAAAATTCTTTAGAGGCTCTGGCAGTGAATCGTGTACACTCCACCACCTCTTATGAGCCGCCTCATTAACGAAGTCGACAAAATAGGGTACCAGCATGTTGCAATCAAATTCCCGGTAACACCACCACGGCTTCATACCGAGGTAGTGTATCGCGTGGATTTCCGAAGGGTCTTCCGAGAACCACCTGCTCTTCATGTCGACGGTAGCTTGTTTTTTAACAGGATCGGAGCCCCAGACAGGTTTGAGAGTGTTTATGGACTCTGGTAAGCGGTGCCACCAGGTGAAGACGTTGTTCAAGAAGCCCTGGGCAGGGGGGAGTATGAAGGAAATTGGTGAAAAAAATACAATATTGAAAACCAAGGGCAAGAAGAACCTTAACAGTTCGGACTACAAGAGTGACGTCACCTGCAAGAGGGCGCGAGGGAGTCGCATCACCTCTTTGTCTCACCTGGTCCCCTCCGTTGGCTAATTGCATTCTTTTTCAGACTCACTCACAGCCGACACTAGACTGAAAGACATTATAAAATTTTACAGTTTGAAGTACAAGGGTGGCTTCTGCTGCCGCATCACTTGACATAACCATCGCATCACATGACATAACATCGCATCACATGCCATAACATCGCATCACATGCCATAACATTGCATCACATGACATAATATAGCATCACATGACATAACATTGCATCACATGACATAACATAGCATCACATGACATAACGTAGCATCACATGACATAACGTAGCATCACATGACATAACATTATCACCTTGCGTAACATCGCATCACATGACAAAACATTGCATCACGTGACATAACAGCGCATCACATGACATAACGTAGCATCACATGACATAACATAGCATTGCATGACAGAACATCGCATCACATGACATAACAGCGCATCACATGTTATAACAGCGCATCACATGACATAGCATCATGGTCTCACCTGGTCCCCCCCATTCGCCGATGTCACGCGCTTCAGATTTTTCATCAGCAGGTCAAACGTGCAATCTGACGGCTCCAGGACCATCACGCCTGAGTTGAAATCCGTGCCGGCATTTCCGCGGGCGGAGATCTCGGGGTAGGAGAAGAGAAAGTCAACGCTGGTCAACAGGAGCAGGTCCGAGTCAATGAAGAGCAACTTGGTGTACTCCGTCTGCTGCCACAGCCGCAGCTTGCTGGGGGGGTTGATGGGGAAAAGGGGGGGTGGGATTAAGGAGGGGGTCAATGAAGTCAACGGTGGTCAAGACAAGAGAAGAGCAGCTTGGTGTACTCCGTCTGCTGCCACAGCCGCAGCTTGCTGGTGGAAAAACGGAGGGATGTGGGGATGGGGAGGAGCTGGGAGAGTGAGGTCAACGGAGAGGTCAATGAAGTCAACGCTGGTCAAGAGCAGGTCAATGAAGAGCAACTTGGCGTACCCCGACTGCTGCCACAGCCGCAGCTTGCTGGGTGGGTTGATGGGGGGAGGGGGGGGATGGGTGGAGAAAGGGATTGAAGGGAGAGGTCAATGGAGTCAACGCTGGTCAAGAGCAACTTGGCTTACTCCGACTGCTGCCACAGCCGCAGCTTGCTGGGCGAGAGGGGGGGGGAGTTAAGACGAGTCAACAAGTCAAAACGAGTCAACGCGTGTCAGAATGAGTTAACAAACAAAATGGAAACAGCAGCAGTAGTCGTATTAGCCAATATATTACATTTTGCACCTGGCACAAAACAATAACATTTACAGCAAGCCAGGTGCAAATAATTAAGCTAATCAAAGTAGGCCTATATCAAACAGGTGGATAGGATACACCAAGACAAATGTTTCAAGGATAGACAGTTTACCACGACTTTTCCCAATCAACACGCACTCTACCTCCACTTGCTAAAAGCACACATACCTCTAGCTCAAATCGCTATAAGCACACAAACCTGTAGTTCGGTGTGAGCACACAGACCTGTAGTTCCACTCGCTACAAGCACACAACTTATACTTCCACTCGCTATAAGAAAACAAACCTGTAATTATACTCGTTATAAGTCCCTTTGCGTGCGTGGGGGTTTCGAATCCTCTTAATCTCCTTCACCGTCCACCCCGCCTCCCTCAGGCCTCGCCTGCTCTCCTCTCGAATCTCCTTCGATACAAGCACAACCATCTCGTGCTTGCTCCCCGTCCTCCTTATGCTGTGCCCCAGTACTATCGCGCCGCACACATATTGATCCGACGAGTGTAACACTGTAGCATACGCGACGCGCTGGTTGGCTGAGGGAGGGGAGAAAAAGAAGGTCGAGGAAGGAGGGGAGTTGGAAGAAGGATGAATAGGCGACTGAAGGTAGTGCATGCGTTGCAAGAAAAACACTGTGAAGGGAAAAAACAGAACAAAAAAACGAATGCATCTCAACAAATAGTACATGAAATTTCCCTGAACTCTTGTCTTGATTTTTTTGATTGACGACACTTCCTGTGACCTCGCACTACCTGAAACACTGCTGTTGATTGGCTGAGCCATGGCGCATGATCCCAGGGGCTGTACACGTGTCAGCATGTCACTGGCCGTCAGGTTGTACAGCCAGGTGTCACCCTTCCGCGTCGCGAGTCGCGAGCAGTGGAAGAGGTTGGGCGGCGGGCGGCAAGCGGAGAGTAACACCACTGGTAACCACGTGCGATTCGCCTGTTACATGGGAGATAGTACAAGGGGATTCGGCAAAGTAAGGCGGAGAGCAACACCATTGGTAACCACAGGTGGCGAACCTGGAACTGGGAACCGAGAGAAGGGTTGGCTGATCTTCAGCCAACCCATACTGGTACTTGAAATAAGGGCGAATGGATGACACGAGGAGAGTAGCGGCATTGGATGACATGTGGGGAATGGTAAACAGTACCCTTATGACGAAATTTGTTATAGTGAGAAGGTGGTGTAGCCAGCGAACATCCTTCGCCCAGGAATCGCTAGGCTCGTCGCAGGGCACGTGTGCGACGATGGCGTGGATGCTGGTCAGCCAATCTGGATAGCTCGGTTCAGGAAATTTTGAGCAGGATGCTCGCGATTCGTTCACCCATGTAGGGAACGCGTCGCGCCACGTCAGCTTCTCGGGCACAAGCGGAACGGGCAGCGAGAGAAGCTTGAAGCGCGTGGCGGTGAAGGCGCTGCTTGTAACGGAGGGGTCGAAATTGAATGTTGCGACATTGGCGAACGGAACGCGACCTTTTCGCTGGAACGAGACCAAAGAGGCGAAAGCGCGATCAAAAGCGACGAGAGGGCCATTACCATCAGGTGGGGGCTTGTCAACTTGTGGGGTTTCAGCAGGTAACGATACAGATGGTGGGGATTCAGCAGGTAAGGATACAGCCGGTGGGGAGTCAGCCAGTAAGGATACAGTTGTTGGTGCAACCCTACGGTTTGCACTCGGCTTGTTGTCCGTGTGCGTGAATGTGTGTGTGTATGGAATGGTATGAGGGCATGGGATAATATATATTTCATGCTTATAATTGTGTGTGAATGTTGAGTCATGATGTCGAGTGTGTGTGTCGAGTCAATAGCGAGTTATCGCTAGACGCGTGTTACGCGGTCGTTTGTGTCTCGCGCGCGGTTTCTATTTTGTCGTGCGCGGTTTCTATTTTGTCCTGTGTCGAACGTTCGGCGTGTCGCAGGTGTGTGCAGCAGACCCATCAAGAACTCAAGGATGAGTTTGTGATGAAGAGCCCGAGCCTTGGTGTCAAGCCTCAAGTGATTTCGAAGCTTGCCAAAAGGGTACACCTCAAGATATTGAAGATAGTTACATTACTTTGTGTAGTGTAACATTTCACTTGGTGTAGGCCCTAGTGAAGGGTAGTTTCGAGACCCTTCGTGGTTGGGGACAGTGTGGCACTGTTCCACATCACTGTACCTCGGCTCTTGGGGTTTGTAGGAGCTGGGAGTCATTCCCAACTCGTAACTCTTCCTATCTTGTGTTCTAAGACTATAGTGGCTGCCATAGTACCGTTCGTTCAAACCGACGCTGTGTCGTCAATTCTTTATCAAATCGTGCAATCTAAATTGCTAATTGTAGACGACGTGAAGACGCTCCAGATCCAATTTGAATCAAGTCATTTGCAGCTGTGAGCAGAACGCTATCAACGTTTGAAGCCGCTGTGCAGAAATCCGTCTGTGCTCTCTATCTTTCGTTTTAGGCACATTCAAGCCTATTGTGACTATAACAAGTGGTATCAGAGCCCCTTGGAGCAGTTTCGACAATGTCTGGACCTGAGGAAAGGGGTGGCAGAGGTGCTGGTGGCAGTGGAGAAGCTCAAGCTCAAGGCCAACCCCGTGATTCAGCCATGGCGCCCATGCAACCAAGTCTTGGCCCACCTAGGGATGAGCCTAGGGTGTTTGGGCTTGACAAGTTCAACGGTGACAACTTTGCTGAATGGTCCTTCAAGATGGAGAACATCTTTGACCACTATGACCTGCTGGAGGTGATGGAAGGAACGGAGAAGCACCCCGAGAACGACCCGGAGAAGAGCCCGTGGGTGCGGAAGAGCGCACAAGGCTATCTCTTACTTGGGCAAGCGTTGGGGAGCAGTCAGATCCGTCACATCAAGCCATTCCAGCGTGAACCAGAGAAAGGACCAAAGGCATGGGCTGCTCTCAAGGGTGTACATGCTCCTGCAACAGCGGCGGTAGCGGTGGTGTTGGAACGGCAAATGGCGGCACTACGAATTGAAGAAGACGAAGCGGTTGAAGAAGGGGTGCAGAAACTCTTCGACTTGTTGACGCGGCTTGAGGGAGCTGATTTGAACTACAGTGAGCTCCAAAAGAAGACCAAGTTGCTGGCCTTACTCCCAGAGTCATGGTCCTCGCTCATCATCAACCTTAATCGCGACTTGCCCCGCCTCTCGCTTGAAGACGTGAAGCGAGCTATCCTTCAAGAGGATTTCCGCCGCCGTGAGTTGGCGAGTGCGGATGGCGCTGGGGCAGCGAGCATCGGCCGTGGATATGGTCGAGGAAAAGGCAGAGGACGAGGGGGAGGAAGGTTTGGTGGCAGCAACTTCGGCGGAGGCCGCAGGAGTGGCGGTTACGGCAGCGACGACAAGAGCTACGGACGCGGTCGCGGCCGATTCGACGGCGAGTGTCACTATTGCCACAAGAGCGGACACATGTGGCGCGACTGCTACAAACTCCCTGATGGTTGGACCCCTGCTCAAGGCCAAGAGGGTAGAGGAGCAGGAGGAGGGAGAGGACGAGGCCGTGGAGGCCGTGGCGGTCGCGGTGGCGGAGCTGCAAACATGAAGAGCGGAGACAACGACAAGGACCCGAGCGACGATCGATACCCGGGTCTATTTCACTTCGTGTCGACGCAAGTACCGGCTGGTCCAGAGAAGGATGAAGGCTTTGAGGAGCCAGCAGCTGTGGGGAAGGTGACCCTACACCCCCTGGACTATTGGGTGATTGATAGTGGCGCTACCTATAGCATAACACCTCGCCCGGACTTGCTCACCGAACTCGAGCCGTCACCGGTGAAGCATGTCACATCGGCTTTGGGGCAGCGAGCAGAGGTGAAAGGCATGGGCAAGGCCATGTTCAAGGGTGCTGATGGGAAGATGGTGGGCCTCAAGAACGTGCTTTGGGTGCCCAGCCTTGCTGCAAACCTGATTTCCGTGCGGCGGTTGGCAAAGGCCGGCATGGACACGAACTCGAAGGGAGCCAAGACCTACACCGCAAGGCTTGGCGATCGAATTCTTTGGGACCTTCATGAGGACAGGGATGTCTACAACGAGATGTGGCAGATCCCAGTGGTCCCTATGCCAAAGGAGAGGCAAGTAGCAGCAAGCATCAGCACCAAGGATGGAGCGGTCGGTAGCGACGATGGCGCGAACGGTCGCGCTAAGGAGAATGAGCTCAAGAAGAGCAAACCTGGAGGGACCAGCAAGTTCAGCGAACCTAAGGAGAGTGGTGCAGCAACCAAGGAGCAGCAAAAGGGTGAGGAGAACCCAGAGGCAGCAGCGGAGGAGGACTACGGAGAGAGTATGTGGGGCGCTATTGCGAGCGCGGCATTCTCCAATCCAACTTCGGCTACGGGGGAGTGTGATTGGCTCACCTTGCATCGGCGCATGGGGCATGTGGCCCTGCCCATCTTGCAGCAGCTAGTGAAGAATGAGATGGTTGCTGGCATACGTGTGAAGGGGGAGCCCGATGAGGTGCTTGGCTGCCCGACGTGCATTCAAGCCAAGTTCACCCGGTTTCCGTTCCCTAGTTCGGAGGCAACGGCAAAGGCACCGCTTGATGAGGTGGTGATGGACGTGGTGGGCCCCCTGAAGCTTGGAGCTGCTGGAGCTGAGTATTTTCTCACCATTCTCGACGTCTACACCCGCATGACTTGGGTGTACGTGCTGGCCAAGAAGAGCGACGTGGCTGAAACGTTGAAGACGGATTGGTTCCCGATGGTGGAGCGGCAACAAGACCGTCTAGTCAAGTCAATCCGCACCGATCGAGGGGGAGAGTTCCTGAGCAAGGAGTTTGGGTTGTGGCTGAAGAAGAATGGTATTCGGCACTCCCTCACCATGCCATACTCCCCTGCGATGAACGGCATCGCCGAGCGAGCGAACCGCACAATCACGGAGGCGGCACGCGGGTTGCTCATTGAAGCCGGGCTACCCGACTATTTCTGGCCTGATGCGGTGCGGAGCGCGTGTGTGGCCAAGAACAGAGCCTTGACTCATGTGGGAGCAGACAAATGGGTGCCCTATGTGGAGTGGCTAGGAAGGAAGCCAAAGGTGGATATGCTTCGGGTGTTCGGGTGCATGTGCATGGCGCTCGTGCCTAAGCATCTTCGGCACAACAAGCTTGGTGCCAAGGCGGTGTGGGCCGTGCACTTGGGCATGGCTCAAAACAGCAAGGGATGGCTTCTTTGGGACCCATTCACCAAGAAGTTCTTGGTGAGCAGGGACTGCAAGTTCATGGAGAAATTCATGTACAAGGATTGGAAGGCGGAGAATGAGGCGAAGATAGGCGTGCGGTTTGGGGAGGTGAAGAGTTCCGGTTTGGAGCATGTGGAGCTGCCTTTGGAGCTGAGCAGCGGCAGCACAACCACAAGGCAATCCTCCCTTGTGAATGGGGGAGAGGAGGCCAATGATGCAGAGGAAGAAGAGGAGGTGCAGCAAGTGAGCGAGCGTGCACCGTCACTCCCTTCCCGTACTACGAGTGCTCCACGGATTCGAGCCACACCGCAGCAACGCCAAGGCCTTCAAGTCTCTGCAGCTGAGGAGGAAGGAAGGGGGAAGAGGAGAGTTCAACCCCCTAATAGGCTGACCTATGATGCGCCGGGAAAGCAGGGCAAGACAGCCCTGGCCGGAGCGGCAATGATGGTTGGAGACGACGAGGAGAGTGACTACGAGGAGTGTGCCTTCGCGTTCTTCTCTCCGGTGGAGATGCCGGGAGAACCAGCAACTCTCAAGGAGGCTTTGGAGAGTAGTGATGCTGAGGAGTGGAAGAAGGCCATGGAGAGTGAGCTGAAGAGCATCGAGGAGAATGACACGT